AACCCGACAGAACAAAACATTGCCTGGTCCTGAGCTAAGCTCACCATTACCCTTATGTGTGAGCCTATCTTTGAAGGCGCCAATCCTTCCTGTGCAGGGTCTTCCTCTTCCACTGCCCTTCGAACTTTACCAAGCATTTTATTCTTCTCCACGAACTAGTCTCTCCTGACAACATGTCCACAGTATGTGAGACAATGCCTTTCCATCTTTGCCTCTAACGGGCATTCTGGCTGTACTTCTTCTAAGCCGGATTGGATTCTTCACCAGCACCATAAACTAAATGCATTGATTCCTCTTCAATCTTCTTTATTCAATGTCCAACTTTCCCTTGTTTACGAGGCGACCAAAAACACTGCGGCGTGGGCCAGATGCACCTTAATCTCCAAAGTAACACCCTTGCTTTTCAACACTTTGAAGGGTCTTGCGCAGCACACTTACCAATGAAGAGCATCGCTTCATCTCCTGACTGCTGCTTCCATGCGCACTGACTGTGGATTCAAGCAAGATGAAATCTTTGACAAGGTGGCTCTTTCCTTCCCTTATCATGATGTCACCTACTGGTCCAACTGTGAGGATTGTTGTTCCCTTTACATGGAGTTTTAGTCCATATTGAAGCTTGGAACCCTTGGTCTTTATCAATAAGTTCAAATCCTTCTCAGTTTTAGCAAGTAAGGATGCATCATCTGCATATCACAGGTTATTAATAAGCCTTCCTCCAATTCTGATGTTCTTTTTCATATTATCCAGCTTCTATGATTATTTGATCAGTTTACAGATTGAATAAGTGTGGTGAGAGGATACAACGCTGATGTACACCTTTGCTAACTTTAAACCATATAGGAACTCCTTGTTCTCTTTGCACAACTGCCTCTTCATGCATATACATGTTCTGCATAAGTACAATTAAGTTCTCCGGAAATTTTATTCTTCTCAAGGATATCTATGATTTGTTATGATCTACAGAGTCAAAGGCCATTGCATCATCAATGAAACATAAATAAACATCTTCCTGGCATTCACTGCAATCAGCCAAGATCCATCTGATGTCAGAAATGATATCTCTTGTTCTACATCTTCTTCTGGATCCACCCTGAACCTCTGGCAGCTCCCTGTCAATATACTGCTGCAACTACTTGGGATGATTTTCAGCAACATTTTACTTCTATGGGCTATCAATGCTATTGTTCAATAATGTGCACATTTGTTGGATTACCTTTCTCTGGAATGGGTACAAATGTGAGGTTGAATGCAATGCCATTCCTCTTGGCGGTGTCATCCCCAGCGGAGGAAACCATATGATTGTCTGATTCTAAATGACCCATACCAGTCCATTTGATCTTATTAACACCAAGGGGATCAATCATTGTGCATTCCATGTAACTTTTGATGACTTTCCATTTTCTTAGACTCATACTTCCCACATTCCAAGTTTTGATGATTCTACATGTTTGCATCTGTTCTCATTTTGAGTTGTGCCCCATTGGCATATGAAGGTTCCAAACACTTGACTCTCACAGGCTTGACCCACACACACACACACACACACACCGTCATAGCCAACTCTGCTTGGAGAAGGCAGTTCGACATCAGTCATAGTGTGAGGACCTTACAACCCAAGAGGCTCACTTCTGGCACTACCTTGGACAATGTTCTGCTTCTATTCCTTCAGCCTTCTGTCTCTGACAATGTTTGTATGCTATCCATGTGGTTTTCAGTGGATAACTCCCTAGAGTGGATAGTCTATTCCTTATTCATAGGCTACTCTTAATTTGGAAGCTCTGCTGAAACCTTTTCACATTGGGTGACCCTGTTTGCATTTGAAATACCAGTGACACAGCTTTCAGTATCACAGTGATAGGCAAGCCACCATAGTATAACAAAATGACAGACAAGTTTTAGAATCTAACAAAATAAGCAGAAATTCTGAATTTACCGATTGGTTTTACTCTGAAAGTTCTTTTGAATCTTCTAATACATTTTTCTATGGAAACATTGCTATGAATAATGGGTGAGCCCCCAAGTAATTTCACAAGCTATAATGTTTATAAAAGCTCTGTATATCTTTTTTGGATGTAGATATAAGGTACATAAACCTGCATCAAATCTACAAATATGTACATGTAACATAGATGTTTCAAACTTTGGGCCACATGAAGGTTGCCCCAAACGGATGTTTCCTTCCTTCCACAATGTCTTTTCCTGATCATGGACCATAGAACAAGTGCTTCCCTACTCCATGCATCTGCTTAGCAGTCTGCCACATCTACCAGCCCAACTGAAATAAACTGATCTGATGTTGCAGAGTCCCAGAGTGCCTGAATTAAATATTAAAGTGATTATAAGCTGTCCATCGTACAGTATCTTCTCAGGATCACTCAAAAATGGATACCCTGTGGGCCAGACTTCCTTAAATATTACATAATCTAGCCTCAGTGTCATAATGCATTTTGTATAGGAAATAAGTGGATTATATGCATGTGACATTTTAAGCATTATCTTGTGGACAGTGCAAAACAAAATGTATAATGGTCTCTCTCTAGAAGTGAAGGACCCATTAACCAAGCCCAGCCCACTGTTACTGAGTTTCTTCTGACTCCTAGAGATGCTATTGGCTGGAGTATAACTGTGCCATAGGGTTTGCAAGGCTCAATATCATCACAGAAGCAGACGCATTATATTTCTCCACAGAGTAGCTGTAGGGTCAAGGCATACCTTTTGGTTACCAGTTAAGTGTTTTAACCACTGTGCCAGTAGGGATCCGAGAAAATCCATTCTATAGCAATACATTGGGACTCCAGACAAAAAAATAGAGCCCTAGTGGTGCTGTAGGATAGCTAACTACAAGGCTGCTCACTACAAGGACAGCAGTTCAAACCCACCAGTCACTTCACAAAATAAAGATGAAGCTGTCTGTCTCTTACGATTTATAATCTCAGAAACCCTACATAGTGGTACTGAGTCAGAATCCACTGGATGGCAGTGTGCTGGGTTTTGGACAAGACAGCTTCAGGTCATTAATTGTCACTGTGGTGTCCATGAGATCTGTAACAAAATCCATAGCTGTTTCTTAATTAATTCAATGAAATGTTGTAAACATAACATTTAAATTCACGATATTATAGAAAAAATTAAAAACCTATATTCAAATTAGAATGAAACTTCCTATGCATCTTTGTCAGTGGTGGTATTGTAGAGTAGATTCTGACTCATCGCGACCCTCATGCACAATAAAAGTACAGTGTTTATTGCACCATCCACATAATCACTGCTATGGGGATGTTATGTGGATTTGAGCCACTGTTGCAGCCACTGTGTCAATCCATCTTGTTGAAGATCTTTCTCTTTTCTATTAGCCCTTTACATGACGAAGTATGATGTGTTTCTCCAGGGACAGATGATAACCCATCTGAATACATGAGACAAAGTCTCACCCCCTTCACTTCTAAGGAAAAGTTTGGCTGTATTTCTTCAAGAAAGATTTTCCATTCTTTCGATATCCACTGCTATGTTCAATATTCCACGCCAACACCATAATTCAAATAAAGCAATTCTTTTTGGTGTTTACAATTCATTGTCCAATTTTCACAAGTATATGAGGCAATATGAGTTTAAGTTGACTCAATGGCAGTGAGTTTGGGGTTTGGAGTAAATGTCTAATTATATCTAAGTAGACAAATTCCTTCTACAACTAATGTAGTTTAATCGTTTCCATAGAGGAGCAAACTTTGCCTTGATAGAGAGAAATAGTATAGTGCCATCTTGAATTAAAAAACAAACAAACAATTAAGAGGACAGATTTTGACAAGCCAGTTGGGGGGCAGTATAGCACTGACAAAACACACAACATCCCTCTAGTTCTTTAATGCTTCCTCCCCACCACTATCATGACCCCAATTCTACCTTACAAATCCGGCTAGACCAGAACATGTACACGGGTACAGATAAGAGCTACCCTTCAGACCAATAATGAGAGTAGTAATACCAGGAGGGTAGGGTGAAGATGGGGGGAGAAAGGAGGAACCAATCACAATGATAGACATAGAACCCCTCCCAGGGGGATGGGCAACAGAAAAGTGGGTGAAGGGAGATAGCGGTCAGTGCAAGACATGAAAAAAATAATAATTTATAAATTATCAAGGGTTCATGGGGGGGGTGGGGGTGGAAGCTGATACCAAGCACTCAAGTAGAAAGACAATGTTTTGAAAATGATGATAGCAACATATGAACAAATGTGTTTGACAAAATGGGTGTATGTATTGATTGTGATAAGAGCTGTAAAAGCCCCCAATAAAATGATTTCAGAAAAAGAGAGAGAAAAAAGCAGAGATTCCAGAACTGATTCCTAGTTCTGCCACTTAATAACTTTACACTAGTTATGTTACTCAGTGTGCCTTTGTTTATACATGTAAGCAAAGAGGATATTACTGTTCATCTGCCTAATGAATCTGTATGAGGATCAGATTGAAACCCCTATGAATATGTGCATATAGACACATAAAAATTGACTTGACTTTTCAAGTGCTGTTACATCATAAGAAACTGAAGAATCCTACCAATGACTTCAGTCTGAAACTGATCAAAAGTGAAGTCAAGAGGCATTGATAATTAAGATTAGGATGCCAAAGTTGTTAACAAAGACGAAGGAACAGTAGTTGAAAAATACGGACTGAGTGATGGAAATGAAGCTGGAGACTGCATGATAGAATTTTGCAAAACCAATGACTTGTTCATAGCAAATACCTTTTCAACCACACAAAAGTCATCTGTGAACATGAACTTCCCCAGATGGGATACAAAGAAATAAAATTGTCCACATCTGTGGAAGGAAAAATGGAGAAGCTCAATATCAGCAGCTAAAGCCAATCCAGAGGTCAACTGAGGAACAGGCAAAAAAGCCAAATTATAACCTTGAGTCTATGCCACCTGCATTCTAGAACATCTCAGGAACACACTGAGTGCATTGCACACTCACAACAGGAGACCTGGTGAGCTGGGGGCGGACATCAAGTCCATCACTCGTGAAAAAGGAAAAGGCCATTAAAAAGACAGGGAAGAAAGAAAAGATCAAAGTGGATGTCAGAAGAGACGGAGCCTCGCGATGAATTGTAGAGTAGCTAAAACAAATAAGACAAAGTATGAAGTGATAGAGCTGAATAGAAATTTTCAAAGAGCAACTGGAAAAAACAAAGCCAAATACAATAAAATGTGTAATGACCTAGAATTAGAAAAACTAAAGGGAAGAACATGCTCAGCCTCTCTGAGACTGAAAGAACTCAAGAAAAAATTCAAGCCTCAAGTTTCAGTCTTAAAAATTCTTTGGCCAAAATATTGCATGATGCAGGAAACATCAAGGGAAGCTGGGGAGAATACACAGTCACTGCTCCTGAAAGAGCTAGTCAACATTCCACCATTACAGGAGGGAGCATGTGAGCAAGAACTGAAGAAAGAAGTTCAAGCTGCACGAATACATCAGCCCAGAGGAGGGCTCTAGGGATGGGTGGGATACCCACTGAAAGTGTCAGCAAGCTGAAGCAGCACTGGAAGCACTCACCCACCCACTGGTCTCTGCCAAGACATTCGAAGACCGCTACTTGGCCAACTGACTTGAAGAGACCCATATCTGTGGTCATTCCAAAAGAGCTGACTCAACAGAACACTCAAACGATAAAACAGCATCACCGATATCACACACAAGAAAAACTCTGCTTCAGAGCCTCCACCACGGTTGCAGCAGTACACGAAAGGGCAGCTGCCAGAGGTTCCGGCTGGATTCAGAAGAGGCCGTGGAGTGAAGTGTACATCACAGGTGATGGCAGCAGGATCTTGGCTCAGAGCGGAGGATAACGGAAAGATGTTTACTTGTGTTTTATGGACTATACAAAGGCATTCAACTGTGGGAACCATAATAAACTGTGAATAATCTTGAGAAGAATTGAAATTCCAGAACACTTCATTGAGCTCATAAGGAACTTGTACATGGGTCAAGAGGCAGTTGTGTGAACTGAACAAGAGAAGACTGCATGGTTTAAAAGGTGTGAGAGGGGATGGTATCATTGTGCCATACTCACTCATCGTGATCCTCTGTACAACAGAATGAACTACTGCTCCGTTTGCTCCACCATCACAAGCATTGACATGCCTGAGGCGACTGGGCAAGTCCATTGTGTTGAAATGCTTCTTTTCTCGGTCCATCTCAGTGAGGGAACACTTCTGGACCACTGATCCTCGATTCTACACCAAGCACGACATCCTTCTTCATGGACAGGGGCCTCCTAGTACCATGCCCGAAGGATGTCAGATGAAGTATTGCTGCTAAGGGGCCTTCCGGCTGCACATCTTACAGGACAGACCTGTCTGTTCTTTTGCCAGTGTATGGCACATTCAGTATTCTTCACCAGCCCCGCTCCAGGCTGTCAATCCTTCTTCAATCTTCCTTACTTATTGTCCAGCCATCATATACATATAAGGCAACTGAGACTACTGTAGCTTGTGTCAACTCTGAGTTCACAGATTGAAAGCTTTACGTTTTAGCACTTAAAGCGGTCTTTTCAGTAGATTTGCCTAATGCAATATGTCATTTATTTCTTGACCACTGCTTCCATGGGTGTTACTTGTGAATGCAAGTAAAATGAAAGACTTGAAAAATGGAAGCTTCTCTCGAATTATTGTATACCAGTCCAGTGGTAAGAGTTTTCATACTCTACATGGAGAACTGGGTTATGCATTAACCTGATAACCATGGGGCCAGCTGTTGGAACCAGCCACTCTGAAGGCGAAAGATGAGACTGTCTAGTCCTGCACATTTTTTAAGTCTCTGACCCTCAGAGAGCTAGTTCGACTCTGTCTTCTGGCTTCTTGTACGGCTGCTACCAGTGAGCTTTCATTTCCGTTTGCCGTGATTTGTTTGCTTTCGTGACGGTAAGGAAGAGGGAAGTCACAGCAGACTGCCGGAGGAATGAACAAACCTGTTTGGGGAGAAGGACATCCAGAATGCTCCGTGGAAGAAAAGTCAGAGAGGCTTCTTTGTCCGTACTTGGTACATGTCGTCAGGAGAAACCAGTCCCTGGAAAAGCACATCATGCTCAGTGAAGCCGAAGGGCAGTGAAACAGGGGAGCACCGTCAGGGAGACAGACTGAAACAGTAGCTGCAACAAAGGGTTAAGGCACAGGCTTGCTTATGAGGATGATACAGGTCTGACTGCTTCCTTCTGGTGAGATGGAACCCACTCAATGACACCGAACAAAACATTTCCTAAACATTTATCATACCTACACTTACAGATCTGAATAAGTTTTCAAGCGGATCATGAAGTGAGCAAGGACTATCACAAAGAAGCGTTATACATTTGGCCTTTGTTTTGTTTTTGAATAATCAGAAACTAAGAAATGTCACAAACCTGATTCTTAATTGGTACTGTGTCCACTTTATATCTGGCACCATCTTCCACCACCAGCTGCCTCTCTGCATTTGCAGTAGCAATCGACTGTTCCTTGTGGTCTGACGATACTCCGAATCCAACAGCAACCTCTCCAAATGTCCCAGCAAGCCTGGTTATGTTAATCTGGAGATATCTACTCAGGTTCGGTCCAATGAGTAATGCCTGGTGTTGGGGGTACAGGGCAAATACGCCATGTGGGTCCTCGTTGGCAGAAACAGAGAATCTGGTGATGCATTTATCCGGATCCAGGCCTGCTCCTCCCTCTGCAGAAACGAGCTGCACCACATAGTGTTCCTCAATCTCAGGAGTGTCATCTGGCAGCAAATGGACCTCAAACCTCACTTCACTCTCTCCATCAGCAATGGAAAAAAAGCCTTTTGTGGAAAGAAAGTCTCCTGCAATATCAAACTCACTACTTAATTCCCAGTAAACCTACGATGGAAAGAAACAAAGTCAAACAAAATTAAATAATTCAGGATATTGAATTAAAATTCTTTACATTATGCCTCTTATAATGTACCAAAGTAGGTATCATTATATGTGAAGGCAAGCGCTTCAAGGGTAAGCTTGGGAGAGTACATGCACCTTTCAGGAGGTCACATGCATCAGCAGAACAAGATGACGAAATAGCACTATTTCCCTGCCTCGAAACCACACGTTCCCAAACTGATTTGGCCGGCTATCCTCTTTTCAGTAAAAAAAAAGTACTCATTGCCTCCCTGGCCATTTATAGCCCCAAATGCAGGATAAAGTGCAGATACTGGTTTTTGCAGCCCCACGAGATAATTCCAGAGTACCCCACAGGGCAGTATCTCCCATTCTGGGAAACACTGTTCTAGACCAGCAATGCAATTTGAAGAGATAAATGGGAGCAACTTAACATTAAGGCATTCATGAGTGATCTAAGCACAAGTCTAGAAGATGAAAGTGAGCAGGTAATCTTAAATTTCACATCAGGAAATATCTATAATATTTCAAAATGTAAAGAGATAATGTCCAAAAAACGTTTGGTCTCTATGCCATCCATTTTCTACAGGATCAGTATAATGTCCAAATCAAAAAGGAGGAGTGCACACTCCTAGAGGCTGATACTGGCTGGAGATCCTCAACCTGCTTAAGTGACGTCTCTCAGCTTCTTGGCGAAAACCCGCAAATCCTCCTTTAACAGGAACCTCAATTAGCCGGGACTTCACGGGCTTCTCTGGCCCTTTCAGCTGCACTTGTTAGGCAAACGGTTACTCTACTCAGCAATCTCAAAAAGGAAAAGATACCGTAATCTCTCCGACAGTGCCCTTCACTCTGTGGACGAAGAAAGCAATGCTCAGGGGCCCTTCCGACGCGAGTGGTTCTGAATAGGTCTTCTCAGATAAAGACTCAGGAGCAAACTGAATAACTCCATTTGGATCGCCAATTTTTTGTACCTAAAGAATATAAATAAATAGAAAGCAGATAAAAGCTTTGTATCAAGTATATCGACACACTGTAAGCAGAGGGAATGTAACTTAGACAGGACACGTGCACATAGTCTACTTAGCTATGTGAGGTTCTCAAAACCTTCTTGATGACAATCCATGGGTTCTTCTTCCTCCAGGAAAGGCGCCCTGGTGGGGTAGTGGTTAGGCGTTGGACTGCGGGTGCCTGGTTCGTGGGCTTTCTACTCCCGTAAACAGTCATCGTCTGGGAAGTCCACAGGGGTCACTAGGAGTCAGTTTTGACTCGATGGCAGTGAGTTTGGTTTTTTGGTTTTATTCCTCAAGGATAATGGAAATAAGTGTCCTGAAACCCACGATGTATATAATTTTTAAAAAGTACAAAAACTCACTGCCATTGAGTCGATTCCAACTCATTGCAACCCTACAGAACACAGTCGAATTGCTTCCCAGGTTATCCAAGGCTACCCCTCTTTACAGGAGCAGAGAGCCCCATCTAGCTCCCAAGGAGCAACTGTTGGGGTATGAACCACTGACCTTACATTTAGCAGTCCAATGTTTCCCAAATAGCACTACCAGGGGACTTGAAGTTCATAGGGCAATTCCATTAAGTTTTAACTCAATTGCTCCACAACATTCTTGAAGCTCCTTTGTACTTCCGTGCCTGCAGTTAGTTTTATTCACCTCAGATTTACTTCAACTAACCGGTTAGTTGAATCGTATCTAGGGTTGCCGTGAATCAGAACAGACTTGATGACAAGGGGTTTAGCATCTTAAGTAGGAAGTAGGAAGATGCTTTAAGCATGCAGATAACCAGTGTCCAGGACGCCACACTAAATCCTCCAAGTAAGTGCCCACTGCACCCAAAACCTCATTTTCTCGAAGCATGTAAAATATGGATTTATCACCACATTAAAGCTTTTTAAATTACCAATCTTCAGGCTAAAAATGACAAAAAATATTTTAGAAAGTTCTCCCCGTAAAGAATTATGACTTTATTTGGTTTTATAAGTTTTACTTCATTATAAACCTTCAAGGTTTCAACAAATACAAACATCCTCTCTGGTAAAGGCATCAAATTTGGGGGGGAGAATCATGAAAAGACTTACTGTTAATGTAATATCTCTGGCTCTGGAGTCTAATTGAGCTTCTCCTTTAACAAGTTTAAGTTGAATAAGGAAAGTTTCTTCAACCTCAATATCCTCATAAGGATGTATGGTCAGAATGATGGTCCTCAATCCTCCTTCTCCGTCTTCAAAGGAGAAGGACCCTCTCACTGGGTCTGCGATGTCACCGTTCTGAGGTGGAAGCACGTTCTGAGAATTGGGTCCTTGTATCTCCCAGTCCACCTGAAGGGGTGTTTTCATTTGTTTTGTTTTTAGAGAGAGTCAGTTTGAAACAAATAGTCATTGCAACATCTGCAGTACCAGGCAGTATATATAGTTAGTTATAGATACTAATTATTCTACAATCTCTCCTCTGAATTTCTGTTTCATCAATTCATTTCTATTTTGTGGAAAAAACAGTAATGACAACTATAAACTACATACCTGCAAATTATCACTGTTAATTAATAAAAGCACCTCACAAGAGAAGAGAAATCATAATACTTCATTTGCCATTGCAACAGGGTAACAAAAATATAAGCGGTAAAAGCACCGTTTGCAGCATAGACTATCTTGTGTGTGAGAGAGAGAAACATAATTTTTAAAAGATCCAACTGGTGCGACATTGTGGTGTGCACAGATTCTTGCCATGAAAACCTATTTGAGTATGACGATAAAACCATGTGGAAAATTGTCTGGGTGTTCGGTATATACTTTCTGTATATACTTAAATAAGGTCTTAGGGTAAAGATGACATCATTTTTCATAAACAATTATGAAAAAGAAAACTTTTATGTGATAGTAAGTGTGGTTTTAAATTTCTGTAATTCAAACTTGATCTCCAGTCTCTGAAGGAAAAGCAGCGGCTACTTGTCTTCAGTTGTCACAGATCGCTGATCCACGCTGGAAATGATCTCTTCCTTCTTGGAGTGTGGGGTCCTGTCTTCTTTCCTACACGCCACGGTCTTCCTGGCTCTCCTCCGGGAGCAGACTCTTGACTTCCCCCAACTTCTGAACTTCAGGAAGCAGCTCAAGCTGAACTTCCGGGTATTAACTTTGACTCCTCCCTTTCTCTTAGCCTGTACTCCAGCCCGGTGATTTTTTCCCCCTCCCAAACATACACCCTATCTAGTCACCTCCCACACTACCCTTGTCCAAGCCGCGTTGGTGTTGGTCTGTGTCGGACAAAAGCCTCCTGAGTCTCCTTGTTGCCAATGACGCATCCTGACCACCCATGTTCCTCACAGCAGCCACAGAGGAACTGCTTAAAATGACCATCTGGTGACACTGCCCCCGTTTTACTCTCCAATGGCAACTTGTTCTCAATCAGAATAAAATCTCCCACCTGGTTTCTGAGGTCCCATGCAATCAGACCTATTTAAAGTGTTAAAAAGCAAGCGTGTGACTTTGAGGACTGACGTGGGTCTCACCAGAGCCATGGTATTTTCTATCACCTCATATGCATGTGGAAGTTGGACACTGAATAAAAAATGCTGGGGGGAAAATCACTGCATTTGAACTACAGTGTGGCAACGAATATTGAAAATACCAGGCACTGCCAAACGAACAACCAGACCTGTCTTGGAAGAAGTGAGGTCAGAGCGCTGCTTGGAAGCAGGGATGGGGAGACTTGGTCTCACATACTTTGGACAGATGAGACCAGTCCAGTGCGGTATAGGACTATCAGAAAAGAGGAAGGTTCTCAATGAGACCGGGTGATACCGCGGCTACAAAAATGAGCCCAGGCATAGGAACCGTGGTGAGGATGGCGCAATACCGGGCAGTGTTCTATTCTGTCGTACACGAGGTCTCTATGGGTTGGAATCAACTCAATGGTACCTAACAACAACATGGAATGAAGTACGGGTGGAGCTTATCCGATCTATCTTGTGCCATCCATTCCTCCTCTGGGCCTCGCAGCACATAGACCTCTCTCTACCTTGAACGCGTCAAACTGCAGTGGTGATTCCCGCTGCCCCAACGATTACTATTACAGCAATTCCATTGCTGTCTCGGACTCATCCCCACTTTAATCTCAAATACCACCCTCGCCCTCCATTCTAAAGTCACCAGCAGAGGAATCAATACTGTGTCTTCCAATTCGGCATTCTGGTAGAGTCTATAATGTCATCTGACTTTCTTTTTACTGATTCCATTGCTGATGGCTCCACTCCGCCCACTGTGGGAGAAAACCATGGGACTGCGATGGGACTCACTCAGAACACACTGCCGGTGCCTAACACAGAGTCCGGCATACAGAATGCACTCAAAAATATTTTTGAATTCCTACATTTTCTTTTCAGAATGCTGAAGTCTGTAGCTTTAGTGGGCACTTAAAATGCCATTCTGGAGCATGACAGGCATTTCCTCAAAAGCCATCTCAGTGGCTGGTCTGAGGTCCCCGAGCGAATAAGAACCACTTGAACATACATGATATGAAGCATATCTGAAGGGAGTGGCAAAAAAAATGCAGGCCCCTTAAGTGTCAGGGATTTTCAATTCGTGGTGCAAAGTAGGTCCATGGAAGGGCTCCTAGCTCGGTCCCTGTGGGTGCTTTCAAGTCAAGAGGAATTCGGACTGCTTTCAGGAGTGTTTGCACCCTGTGTCTGTCAGCTCTACAACTGCCAAGAAAGGATTTCGTTCTTCCTCAACCACCAGAAGTCTTTGAGTGACTGCATCCAATTCCGATTTGGGCAGCCCAAGCACCCTCAGGACACACTCACGGTGTCCCAAGGCTTCATACCACCCCATCAAGGTCCAAGTTATTCCCAGGCAGGGTTAGCCTGCTCAGCGTTTTACTGCTGATCAGAGTGGACGCGAGGGCCTCATAACAGGCACTTAGTAGGGTGACTTACATCCACTCCAAGACCTTCTAAGTAACAGCTGAGGGCTTCATATGGGAGCGACACACTCTCATCTTATCCTGTATGTCATTGTGACCAATCTCCTGACTGCTCGGACTCGGATTGCTGGTGAAGACAGGGGCGTTGGTTCCGCCGCCATCCACCTGATCAACGTGGTACCCACCGCAGCGACTCCAGATCAGAATCATTCATTTCATTTCGAACTGAGACTCAGGCATGCCCGAACACAGATGGGTGTGTGTGTGCCTTCACACACTTCTAGGGACTTCAAGGGACTCGGAGATGACTTTTAAACTACAAGGGCACGAATGGACTGTTAATAAATTATTATGTTTCAAACATATGACTATGCAACATCATGCTCAGTCTATCAAAGACAATTTTTAAAACCATGGTAAGAATAATTGTCCTTGTCCCAGTTAGAATTGCAGAAGAATGTAGAACAAAACTCAAATTCAAAAAAAAAAAAAAGACAACCAAACTGCAGTGACCGAGACTGGAGATTCCCCCAAGTCTCACACCGTCAAACACCACGGGCAACCTGACTCTGAAGCCAGCACGCCCAGGGGCCACTTTTCAGACAAGTCACAGATGGGTCCAGGAAACAAACAACGTGCCCGGAGACTGAAGGACTATGGGTATCAGACAGGAAACATCTGTCCAAACGTGAAGATGAGAAGGCAGAGAGGGGCGGGGCAAACGGAAAGATGGGAACAGGGAAGCAGGGTGGAAACGCAGGCACTGCTGACCCGTTGCAGCGATAGTAACCGAAGTCGGGAACAATTGACTCCTGAGTTGTGGGATGCAAAACGAGTTGGTCATGAGATAAAATGCACCGGACACACAATAAAATGTTCAAAAAAGGAAATAAAGACTGTACCTGGATCTCTCCCAAGAGTCCTCCAACCCGCTCCAGTACCAAGGATAACATCATTGTAGAATTGGGGTTAGGGACAGAAAGTTTGCTTTGGTTGAGAAATCGTACAACCCCAAAGGGAGAGTCACTCTTGGCGATTGTGATTCTGCTCACTAGGTGGCGCCCAAGGACCGCTCCACCAGTAGCGCCAGTGAGCAATATTTCAATTGGCTCCTCAAATTCACTGCGAGAAAGAAGAGCAATTCTGTGAGTCTACACATACTAAAATGCCTCTAAAATCTAAATAACTAGTCATTTTTCAAATTGGTAATACATATCCATGGAACAGTAGCCACATTCCACGTGATAAGAAGAGGCTGCTCATCTAAAAAGAAGCGGGAATATTATATAGCCTGGAACTGTTATCAATCCCCTTACGCACCACCACCTATAGATTTCTATAGATTTAATTGCTTAAATGCACTACACAAAAATTAAAAGATGGTTCCGCATTCTCATTAAACTTTTGCAAGTCTAGAGGAACAAAATAATTTCCTTGAATCTTTAAGGAAAGTGGTGTGTGCAACGTATATATCAGTCCCCAAGCCCCCTTTCCCAGGCTCCAGAATCCCAATACGTTTATGAGTGTTTCTTAAGAGCATGGTTCCTGGAACTCTGGGACAAGGACGGAGGCAGCTAAGGGTTGCTGCTGTGGTTCGGTGTGGCCCAGGAGATCATCTACTCAGTCACCGACGGGACCCAAGCCAGCAGTCCCAATGAGGTTTCCGAGGTGGATTCTGGACAGGAGCAGTCCCATAGGGCTGTTTTACCAGAAAGAGGTTGAAACCCACAACCTATCAGTTAACATCCAAATGCTTGACCATCGTGCCACCAAGGTTCCTGGGGTACACACTGGAACACAACATACACGCGCTGTGTCTGTTCATAGCATTTCCAGAGCTCCGGGTGTTACCTTTCCTTGTCATCGATGATGGAGACATTTATAAAACTTAAGCTCTGCCCGTGCTGGAAGGTAACCGTGCTTCCATGCAGCACATAGTCGGCACCAGGAATGGCAGCGGAGCTCTGGGAGATGAAATCGGCTGTCACGAGGCCGTACGTCCCTCGCAGTCTCACCACTGGGATGAGGAGCAGCCCAACATCTTCCTCCACTGCAACGGGAACTCAGAACTAACCAGGGGCACAAAGCAGCAATCCTCCCTCAGAGTTCACCCCAATTAAACGTGACGTAAGATACCAAGCTACACCTCAAGCACACGATTGTTTCCATAATCCATTTATCACTTTTAAAAAGAGTTTAATTAGCATATAATTCGCATACCATACAGTTCAGCCATTTATTCGCATTCAGAATTGTGCAATCATTACCACAATCATCTTCAGAACATTTTCTCCTCGTATTCATTGTTGTTAGCCCCCTACATTCCCCAACCTTCCCTGCCATACACCTATTAATTAATCCAGTTACTAGCTCTACAGATTTACCTATTCTAGGTTGCACATACAGAAAAAAGCTGACCAAAAAAAGGAACTAAAAGAAACCAACAGTAAGGCGAGGTGATATCAAAAAGTTCCAGATGAAAGAAAATGTTTTGAAACTGATGGTGGTATCAATTGTAAAATTATGTTTGATCTAACTGAAATATGGATTGACATGATCTCCGTAAGAGCTCCGAATAAAATGATTAATTTTAAAAAATGACAAGATGAAACACAGAAAACTTCAATCAAAAAGGAAACAAAAAATACTAAAAACTGGAACAAATTTAAAATGAGCCAAAAGGGAGATCAATGCATAAAGTGTTACATTGTAACCTAACCACATCTACAGTGACCCACTTTACGGTGCACTGGGCCTGACAGCAAGGCTGTCCACGTCCTTGGACCATGTTCAATGCGGATTCTCCAAGGGGCATTCTTCCATGGGGAATCCTGCAGAAGGAGTTGGGGCTTACACTGTCCTCCTAATACTACTGCAAACCAGGTGTTCAGAATTTAAGCTGTAATAGCATTCCCTCCTCCGGATTTAGGATGTATCACTTTTAAAAACCGATTAGTGGAAATATCATGGCTCTCTTATGTTTCAGGAGTAATATGGCTTACCAAGAATTCAAACTGATGATCAGCAAGTCAAGTGAGCATTTAAAGACCGTATCATGTGATAAGCATTTGCTTCCTTCCTTTGGGTGTTACATACAAATAAATGGCCCTTTCCAAAAATGCGAAATGGACAGAAAGAAACAAATAACTCAAAGAAAACCGCACCATATTGTTTCTATAGATGCGATTGAAATGTAGATAATAAGATGTGCATAAATGAGGTTTACTTATTTATATCATATGAACATTTTACGAGTTGAGCTATAAATTCTATTTATATTCCCAGTTCCTTTGAACTCTATTTGAGCATCTGGAAATGAATCTTCAACATTTTATTTCAATTTAAAATTCATTTTTCAAATTATCTTTGTTTTCTTGTTAAGTAATGTTAATCTTTGCATATTACAACATACTTTCCTAGAGAAATCACCACTATTTGCTTCCACAGTAAGGAATTGAACTATGTACACTTAATTCTGCTTCTGGAAGATGGGAGACTGGCCATCGCAGGTAAATTATTATTGGAAATTGTCTTGGCAAAGCAAGACCCAGGATCCAGATCCCACCTTTTTTTGTAGTGCAATAAAATTTAAAACGTAAAAAGTGACTATTCATTCAAAACTGAATATTCATTGATAGCAAATCACTGAGAAATTGAAATACTGAATACATTAGAAAATGTTCTCATTAAAATGTTTGAAACAAAAACCTTTCAATAATCCTAAAGGTAAACATAATTTTTCTAAAATGTCTCATTGCTAATTATTCAGTTGTGCCAAACACATGCAAGATTCAAGAATGCCGAAACATAACCCAAAATATATTATCAAAAAACACATAAACATACATAGTATAATGTATGCATGCAGCTACAACGCACACCTATACTACATTTACACAGTACTTACACACAGAATTAAAACTGACAACACAAAAACGCCATGGCAGGTAGTTAACTGAACCTACCTTCAAAAGCCGTGTACCTTGGGTCAAATTCAATAACGCCCTCTGCGTTATCATTTTTCATGATTATGATGAGAAGAGTGGAGATGTTTCCTACTTCAGGAGGTTGATCTATCTGAAGTCCATTTTCTCGGACAGTGAAGTCATACCCGCTTGCAAAATCATGAAAAAGAAGAGAAGTCTGACATGAGGATCCTCCTCATGCCTCAAACCTAGACCTAGTAGATATGTTCATGCTCCGCTGAACAAACAAAAGTCTCACTGACATCAGGGTGACTCCCTAGGACAGAGTAGAACGGTCTCTGTGCATCCAAGGTGGCACAGCTTTGTGGAAAGATACCACCTCGTCTTTATTCTACGGAGCAACTCTTGGACTTGAACTCCTGACCTTGTCTTTAGCCATCCCATGCCTAACCCACCACCCACCGAGCAGCCTTAATCAGCTATAGCATTCGCCAAACTAGTCTCCCCACCAAAATCTAATCTTTAAAAATAATTTCCTGTGAACTTCCCAATTGTTAATGTCTGCATGAAACGAAGATTACTATAAAATTACAGCAGTTGGGCAATGAGAAGAGAATGAAAAATTTAGGAAATGGGGTAAAAACTGTGCTACACAAAGTCTCCTGCACACCTACCATGTAATGGGCCAAGGAAGGGTGGATACATCAATTAAACTAGAGTGTATACTACAGTTAGGTAATCAGCTGGACTTGAAATTTAGTTTTGTGTTGAGAGGGTTGCTTTTAAAAATGATGGGTACCAGGACACTAAATTTCACTACATCAAAAATCAGGGGTTGAGAAAACATTTTAAATTCAGAGGAAATCAATTATACTCAACGCCTCTATTCTTTAGAGGCATATTTCCCTAGTGATGCAATTCTACAAATTATTTGTTCATTTTCCTAATGTCTATTTGTTTGTTTTAGGTTGCTATTACTCCTATCAAGCAAAAGGATATATCTAGCCTTTCTCCTACTTCCCGACCTGGTCTCCCCGCATTTTGCATATACATCTGAGAAACCACCGCAGGGAAGGCAGTTCTGCAGTTGAACGTGAATCTCTACCCACTTTGCCTTCTCTCTCTCTCCTCCCCCCTCCCCTCCCCCCAGCTTCTTTCCCACATTACCTTCCCTGGAGTTCCACCTTCGTAAGTGCTAGAGAAAACTCTTCGGGGCCCTCCGGCAAGTCGTCGTTCAGTATTTCGATCAGCAGGCTTTTGGCCGTCTCCCCGGGTTCGAAGAGGAGCTCCCCGGCGGCCGGCGTGAAGTCCAGGCCGGCCTCGGCGCTTCCGCCCGCAGTCTCGAACCAGAGCCGCACCAGGCCCAGCGCGCCGCTCCACCGCTTGACTGTCACGTTCACCTACGGGAGAGGTGTGGGCGCACTTGATTTGGAGGTTTAATCGGCTGTGCTACACTTGATTTTTATTGTCTCTAGTTAACAATTCTATTCCGTGAAAAATTCAACATGAAAAATTACATGTTGAAACAGGAATAAC